GATCTGGGGCAGCGGTGGTTGTAGTCTTGGAAAGCCTTACTTGGGAAACCCCAGCAGAGCTGGAAACTGGGCAGGGAGGGTGGTGTGGTGGGGACTGTCCCAGGCAGAAGGAAAAGTGTGTACAGACCCTTAAGGGAGTCTTCGCATGGTGGTTCTGAGGAACCCAAGGTGACTCACTGTGACTGTAGAGCAGACAGTGAAAGGGCCTGTGATGGGAACTTCCACAGGAGAGCCAGGTGGGACCTCCTGAGCCATAGTGACAGACCTAGTCTGACTTCCCAAGTTTATCAGGACGCCAGATTGTGACAGCCAGAGTGTGACATGGGTCAGGTCTAAATTCAGCAATAACTGGTTTTGCTGCTACGTGGTGAAAGGGAAGGGCGTGCGCATGGGGAGACCAGGTGGGATGCTTCTGTGAAGGCCGGCTGAGAGAAGAAGGGGGTTTGCAGCGGGAGGCCGGTAGTGGAGAGGCGCACGTACCTGGGAAGCCGGCTTAGCCTGGCGGTGAGAAAACCAGACTCTAGGTGGTTCTTCCTGGGCTGAGGATCCTGGAGGATGCAGGAAGAAATCATATATTTGGGAAACCTCAGGACTAGGGGTGATAGACATGAGCAATAGGAATTCAGGCTGTAAGCTGGTGGAAAGAAAAGGGGGATGAAGTTGGGATGAAAGTACCCCAAAGGGGTTATGAGCCTTAAGCCGGTCAAACATGGTTTTCACCAAATGCAAAGAGTGTTGGGTGTGGATTTGTCTTTTAGTTCTGTTTATTGCAAGCTATGCTTGATGGGCATAATGATCACAAAGCATCTATGTTTCTTGGAACTTAAAAAGAGAAATACGTTTTTAGCATCCAGCAAGTTGCCTTGAGCTGCTTAAAATGAGAGCCTTTTCAAGTGAAGGCTATATTGAGGCCTCTGATCGGCTAAGAAAGAAACTGTACCTGGAGGTCAGAATGCGTCTCAAGTCTAGTGCCAGTGGTTCCTGGAACTACCCTGGGTGCTGGTGTCTGGTAGACCTTCACACGTTGCACCCACCCACCACATTGCTCCCAGCACGGCCTTCCCACCTGATTTCCACGAGCCCTTGGACGCACCATCTATCTAGCCTCTCTTAGTTGCCTCACGCTTCAAATGGCAGGGTCCCAGCCCTTGCAGTGTCTTTTACCTCTAGGGTATTTGATTCCACGCGGCAAGAATCCTTCATTCCCCAGAGTGCTGTTCTGTGCTAGACATGCCTGCGTATTCTTCTGGCTCGCTGAGGCCTTTGTTACTTAACGATCATTGTCATGGTTTCTAGTCTTAATAAGGCCAGGAAGAGTTCATTCCTTATTAACACCACTTTTTGCCCTGAGAAAACCTTAAGCCTGTTTCTGAAAACCCATTGCAGTCCCATAAAGGCATCTTCCCTCTTCTCCCCCAATTTACTTCAATAAACAGATGAATAAATACACATTTATTGAGCGCCTGTTGTGTGCCCTCCGTAATGCTCAAGGTTCTCTGCCACTTAATTGTCAGGCACCCTTGTCAGGGAAGGGTGATGTTCAGCATTATAAGAAAAGGAGTCAGCAGCTCACAGAGGCTAACTTTCCCAAGGTCATCCTGCAAAAAAGAGGGTAGTAGAATAATATTAAACCCAAGACTTCCGATTCTGTGTCCAGGTTTTTCCCACCTAAATTGGTAAGCAACCTGGTTTTAGATGGCTAATGGACAGCACAGGGAAAACATTAAAGCACGTGATGGGAGTGTTGTTTTCTTTTCAGTTCTCTCTCAAGCATCCTGATTAGTCAAGTAGAAAATGCATTTGGTGTTAAAGTGGCTTTAGCATGTGTTGAATATTTGCTGATCTCCCTTTTTAACAAAGAGAGCTGGTCTCAGGCTCAGCACCGTTAACACTCAGCAGTCTCCAGCAAGAATTTTTAAAAATTATTTTGGTTTCATCTTTTCTTTTTGGAACACCATACTGGTTTTTCTCATGGTGGTGATAGATTTAAAGGAAGAGAATTATGGGAAAAATAATTAAAGAAATTATTCCTCTTTCTAGGAAGAGAATTATGGGAAAAATAATTAAAGAAAAATATTGAATAAGTTACATTTCAGGTATATGAGCATAATAATGATGAAAATCATGAATATGTATCCGTCTGAATGAAGCTGGGAATTGCATCATTGATTCACAGTGCCTCTCTGGCTCCCAGGGCATGTGGGCCTTGAGGAGATCGTTGCCGTGCTAAGTTCTGAAGCTGCTCTTTTTTTATTCGTTTCCCTGGGAAACATATAGAAGCGATTATAATGAAAACTCTCCCTGCCATTAGGACCATTGGACATCCTTCTTAGGTTTAAATTTTATAACCCAAACCAACCCAAACTAGTAATGGAGTCTTAAAACCTAGGAAAAATATGTAAGTTTATTGCAAAAGATAATATCCCATTTAAAACAGTTTAGAAATTTACAAAACCTTACATCAGTACGTAGTCTTTAAGAAGGTGCTCTATAGATGAGCTGGTATTAAGTTCCAAGTATAGCGAGTACACATTTTTTTAACTACAGAGAAAGCAGCTACATAAACTCCTGCAACTTAAGGTGATGTATCAGTCTTTCACCTTTCAATTTTATAAAAGCAACCTTTGCTAAATTTGTATCGCTCTGTAAAACCAGATAACTTCAAGTACAGCATTTCTGTAGGATATCACGGTAGATGTTACATAATACTTTACAAAGAAGCAATTTTCACATGAGTAGGTGAATATAGAGTCTTGGTATATGTATACTTTTTGAAATTTAACACAGAGATGATCGTTTCTGTTTAGCAGGATGTGTTTACTGAATCCACTTCCCCCATAACAATTTTAAACGTTCAATTTTCAGAAGAGACTTCCTTCCCAGTTTCAGGTTGGTGGCCCAAGCAATGTTGTGTTGTGCTTTGGTATAGAATCATTATAGCCTTGTTTGGTTTTATCTCTAGAAATGTCAACCTTTTCAGACCACTATTTCATCTAACTCAGTTGAGGGTTTATCCCGAGGCCGCCACCTCAACCTAAGTGTATGACAACATACACTTCTTAATTACCCAAATGTTGGATTATCCATTTTGTGTGAGTTATCCCAGACATCTCTTCATCATTACAGGCTGACTTTGACAAATGATCCTGATCAGCTCTGGGTGGCTCTGCCCATTTGATGTTGGCATGTGCACGGACTTTATAAAACAGGTAGAGTAGGTGTTCATATCTCCACTCGGGAATGGACAAACAGGCCTTGGAATAGACTGTTCTGTTGCCTGGGTGTCTTAATTCTGGGAATAGGATTATTTCCATTTTACTGTGCCGCCCAGGAGCATAAATTAATTTGAAAATTAGCGGAAGCAAAGCAAATTAAGATGGAAGCGCTCCTACGAGATAAAATTATATGAGATCCCCAATGATTTTGCTTTACTGGATTATCCTCTGTCCTGTTCTTTTCGGTTGTTGGGGCCAACTGAGAGTTGATCTTGTGGATACGTACAAAAAGATCTGTGGCTTTTAGCCAGTGGTACCATATCTTATTGAAACGTGGCTTAGGTATGACAAGTGTATTTATCTTAATTCTAACTTCACGTTATGTATTCCGGTCTCATTTTGTGGGTTTAAACATTACACTAGAAACAGAACAAGAACATCTTGAATGGCATTCCAAGATTTCATAGTGCCAGCCAAGATTCCTTGCCAAATTTCCCTCTTGCTGTCACTGAAATAGCTTTGTGCACTGCAGCGCAGGGACAGGGGAAGGTGAAACTGTCTGGGTGGTTTGCTCAGTTAGCCTCAATTTGCAGCGGGGCACGTATGTCCCACGTTTACACAGGATGCTGCACTCTGCAAAGACTCTAACTCAGACACCCAGTCTTCAGCAAAGGGGATTATGAAGCGCCTTCCTCACTGAATGCTTGTTGAGTTTAGGATCCCTTTTCTGAGCCGCCTCAATCCAACCACAGGCTGGTAGAGAGTCTAACAAGAAGGAATATGAGCCTTGCCAACCTACCCCTCGTCCCCAAGAGTGTGTAGCAGTTACTGAATTATATTACTTTAGCTGTTTGTTCAGCCATGCAAGTTTGACTGGACCCACATGTGTGGAGGTCTTGTCAAAAGAATGACGAGAACCAGTGTTGTGTTTTGTCTTAGTCTTATTTATGTTTCTGGTAAGATGAAGCGGACAGATAGGCTGCTGGATCTCATGATCTTAAATGTTGCAGAGAAATTAACTGTGCAATCTTAAAAGTTCAAACCCAAACCAGACCCCATCCATTTGCCAGGCAGTCTCAGGCCTCAGACTGAGAAGCAGGATGATTTAAGATGGGCGCTGGAGTAGCCACAACTGCAGGATAGTCATACCTGCAAGTCCCGTATACCCTGTGGTGAGCTTACTCTGCCACAGACTCTTAAGGTCCACACAGCGTGAAATGACAAACCCTTGCTTTGGGGGTCAAGGGACCAATAAAAAATGAAGAGGACCCAACCCACAAGGTGACCTTTGCATTCTCACGTCCTGCCCACTCCTGTTGTGCTCATGTATATGCCAATATCTTAGAAAACTGCCAGTTTGGGGATCTGTTTTTCTCTGGGTGTCTGCTTGTAACCCTCCTCTATCTTACTGCTCTGCACAACATTTTTGTTTCTTTCCTTTGGGACGATGAACCCAGGATGGGCAGGAAGTGCTTAGCGTTACTAAAGGGGTGTAGGAAAGTGCGATGGGGGTTTTGCCCATGGTGGGAATCTAGACTCACAAACCAGGATGTGTGACAGGAAGCTAGGCAAGTGGGCACTCGGGTCCGTGAAGTCCTCAGCAAGCAGCAGCACGCACTCAGGTGAGGTGTGGTCATGTGTCCAGTGGCAGCTAATCCAGCCCCAGTTGTTCTGGTTTCACAGGTCGAGTGGCTCATAGCCTGGGGCCTTTGCTAAGAAGTAGAGAAGGCCTGAGGGCAGTGGTTCCCCACCTCGGGAAGGGCAGAGGTAAAGGTCCCCATGAGCTCAGATCCACCAGAAGCATTTCTTCTTCACCTTCTTGGTTTTCCGCCTTAAGTCCTGTTTCTCAGGGACTGAGGGCTCTGCCGGGGACTTTGGTGGGGGTGATGCCTCCTCAACTGGCTCTGCTTCCTCCAGACTCTGTAGAACTTCATGGAACCTGCCTTCCTGCTGCCGGAAGTCATATTCTACACTGAAAAACACAAAGAGGAAGGAAGGAAAGTAAATTCAAATCAGCACATACTGATGTAGCATCACCAAGTGTCCAACTGACATGGAAAAACATGTGCTTTGAGGTCAGGTCCCAGATGCTTAGGTAGCTGCTTGGCTGTGTGACCTCGAGGAACTTGTGCCACCTCTCTGAAGCTCCAGTTTCTCATTGACTGAATTGGCATCTGTAATGCCTTCCTCTTGGGCATGTTACTAAGTGTAAATGAAGCACGTAACATGGCAGCCTAATAGTAGATGTCCAGTAAAAACGGCTCCAATCTCTCTCTCACATTTATTTAATGCTCCTAATTGTTCATTCTTTTTACATACATTTTATGCATGAAAACTGCCTCATTATAAAGTATTTAAGTAACCCAGAGGATTATATGCTAAAACTAACAACTCCGTTTCCTTATCCATAAAATGGGCATAAAAATGGCACCTGTCTCAAAGGCTTTCTTTGGAATTAAGATGTATATTAATTGAGAGAATATAAATGTGGTACTTAGAGTGGTTCCTGGCATGTAGTAAGCCATCTCAGAATGCCCAGTGACAAGGTACCATTTGGGGGCTTCATTAGTCACGTGTGGCAATAGTGATTTGCCTTTTTGGTGGCACTTACTCCGATCCTGGGTCTCTGGGAGGTGACATGGGCATAGCAGACCAGGACAGTGTCCCTTTAATGACAGCTCCTTTCTAGTCCTTGCTGGGTAGAAGGCTTTGGCCAGTCATGCCAGATCACAAACCAACATAGGGTCTTTCCTCTTCCGTATGAAACATTTCATTTTCCTCCTTGCTAAACAAGGAGGAGCACTGCTTTCGTGACTCTGCATTTCCCCCACTTTCCATACACCCAAGCTAGCTCCTCATCTTTGGGCCTTCTGAGAGTTCTAGTATGAAACCAGGTAACAAACACAGCTATAAGCTTAAGAGCCTTCTTCCAGTCATCCTGGCACTGGCATCTCCTCTGTAAGTAAATCTCCTGTGGAGGAAAGTGGACAATTAAGGGTGGAGGGAGCACATACACAGTCTGTAGGGACGTTTGCAGGATTCAGTCTTCCTGGCCTGGCTCTCCAGGTTCTGAGAAGGCTGAGCCAGACTTACCAGATGGGCTGACCATTCCTGATGCCCACTGGCCTGATTCCCAAGCCCTCAAAGGTCAAGGGGAGCCTGAGAACCCACTGCACGCAGGCCAGAGCTTCAGTCTCTGACTCTCTCAAGCCCTGAGAACCCTGGTCCCCAACAGTGTCATGTTTGCCTCACAGACCTGTGTACAGATGATACAATGGAGTCTGTACATTAACGACTCCAAAACACACAAATAAAATAACAAAAAAAGGAATGGAGATTGGGAAATGCCCGTTAAAGGAGAGTATTTAAATATGTCTGTATTGAGGAATCCTATGAAGTTAGCATAGGTGTAAAGCTCTCCAAGACACATCGTTGAGAAGCAAAGCAAAGAGCAAGACGTAATATATTAGTAGTAATAACATTAATGATGATAATAGTAGCAGTAATAGGGGCTGAATAACCATGCTTAAGGAGCGTCAGGGATGGGTGTCTGACTATTTCGTTTCTGTATTTTTGATATGCTTCCACCAGATTTTCTTCTCTTCAGCTTATATCCTTTTACTTTCTGTGCCCCCTGGTCTCCTCCACAGGGACCTGCTCCTGGCTGGGTGACTTATAATAATGGGTGTAGTAATGCAGGCTATGTTTTTTCTAGGCAAAGCTCCACGATTGATTAGCTGTGAGATCTTGGCAAAGTCATTTCTCATATTCAAGCCACAGTGTCCTTATCTGCAGAATAAGCATGGTACCTACTCATAGGATCTCAGTGAAGTATAAACAACAGAATGATGTGCAACACTCAGCTCAGAGCCAGGCGCCAACAAACACTGAATGATATTCAGCTCATCATTCAACCAACTAAATTTACTGAGTATGTCCCATGTTCCAGGCCCTATGTTAGGTGCTGGGGGCAGAGTGGTAAACAGACAGACAGACAGACACAGAGGTCTGACACTGAGCACTCACCCAGAGAACTATTTTTTCTAATTGGTGTTAGGACACTGCTGTGAGTCTTGACAAACTCAGGTGGTTTGTTGTTGTTGTTTGTTTGAATTAAGAAGTCAGAGAAATATCACATATAAGGAGAAGAAGGAGGCTGGTCTGTGTGGTTGTTCATAATAATTTGGTGGAGGAATATATGGATGAAGAGCTGGAAAGCAGGGGTAGTTGAGATATGTACAAGGCAGATTTTTAAAGCAATTGTTAGTTTAATCATCTGTCTCACACACTGGTAAGAAAGATCCCCCAAAGCAGTATCCACATCTGTCTGTCTCACTGTGATGTTCCTGTAACTGAGCATAGTATCAGGCCTAGAGTAGGGTGGATGATTGGATGCATGGGTGGATGGATGGATGGATGGATGGATGGATGGATAGTTGGTTGGATGGCTGGATGAATGGATAGATGGTTGTATGGATGAATGGATGGTTGGATGAATGAATGGATGTTTAGACTGTTGACCAGCTGGATGGATGGATGGTTGGATGGATGGATGGATGGATGGATGAAATTTCTGATACCAGAAAGCTGAGGAAATTCCTAGAATGAGTAAGGGGTGCCTACTTTCTTTGGCTCCAGCTGATGTTCTAGGATGAAGGTTATTTTTCTGCCTGGTGAAAAGAGGGCAGGGGTATTTCAGGAGCTAGAACTATGAATGTAGATGTTCTCTGTCTTGTGAAATGGTGTAAGAGAGGGTAAGAATCAGAGTTTGCAACTCACTGCTTTAAAGTCCTTCCTTAAAGCAATGAGAGTTTGCTGGAGACAACTCTTCCCCAGCCTCTGAATCCATCTCCTTAAATTTCAGTTGGGGAGAGTGAGTTGCAGGTAGTGGTGACAGAAACCCGTCGTCCCAGGCTCAGAGACAAAGAGGGGTGCAGTGCTGGGCAGTACATCCTGGAAGTGGGAGCCTCAGTGGATACTTCTGTTCACTGATCTGGCAAATCCTAAGCTTTGGCTAGAAGATCTCTAGTAGCTCTTGATATTGGCTAGCATTTACTAAGGACACAGAGCTACTGGTTACCAGCACCAAGAGGCCAGACAGGAGACACGGGTTTGAGCCCTGGTCTGGAACGATCCCATATGCCACGGAGCAACTAAGCCCGTGTGCCACAACTACTGAGCCTGGGCTGTAGAGCCCACGAGCCACAACTGCTGAGCCCGTGTGCTGCAACTACTGAAGCCCGGGCGCCTAGAGCCCGTGCTCTGCAATAAGAGAAGCCACCGCAATGAGAAGCCCACACACCGCAACAAAGAGTAGCTCCCGCTCGCCGCAACTAGAGAAAGCCTGCGCACAGCAACGAAGACCCAAGGCAGCCAAAAATTAAATAAATAAATAAATAAATAAATAAATAAATAAATAAATAAATAAATTTATTAAAAAAAAAGAGAGAGAAGGTAAAGTCTGTCTTGGCTCACAATTTAAAGCACACTGTAGACAATACAGAAATGGCTCTCGAATGGAATACTCCTGGGTTTGAACCAAGGCTGTACCGCTTACTGGCTGGGTGACCTTGGGTAAGTTGCTTCTCTTTCTGAGACCCAACTGGAAGTGGGGGTTATAAAGCTACTTCAGTGGGTAGTTGTGCAGATGGGACACGATAACGGGAAATGTCCTTATGTAGGATGTGGTCTCTACCCACTCCACTAAGTCTCTTGTCTTCCTGTCTTAGGGACTGAATGCCTCACCTCCTCACTCATACCTTCAACTCTTCAGTAATTGTATACCTTGCCAGAAACATCACTTTTCACCTCTCCCCTCCATGTACATTCAGGGAAGAATATGCTCTTTACATTTCTATGGAAACACCACAGGCTTCCATTATAATCACTGGGACTTAGGGAACTCCCCATCCTCTTCTTGCAACTGCCCCCATTGGTCTTGACAATTCAAAGAGGATTGAAGGTGACTTTCTTTTCAAGGCCAGGCAAATAACAGAGTACAGAGAAGCAACTGTGCTTTGGAAAGAAATTGATTAATTTTTTTTTAGGCAATTTATTAACATAAAGGAAAATTGTCACTTTTCTTCTTATCCATCCATTTGACAAACTACTGTTTAGTTTGGGAGGGAGGAGAAGGCGTATATTTTGTTTTGGTAGCAGCTGCCTTATAAATGGGCCAGGGGGGCAGTGCCCTTTCTCATCTGTCTTTCATTTTGAGGCTGGGTCGAGAAGAGGAGATGCCCCTCAACTTCTTAGTTAGCCAACCCACAGCACTTTCAGCAACATCTCGAAAGAGGGAATAAAATGCCTGCTTGAGAGAATTCAAGCAAACTCTTAGCAGAGGGTTGTTTGCAGATTCTGGGGAATAAATGCCTGCCTTGGGTTTGGTATCAAGGTAGAACACCAGTAACTTTTCCAGCCTTCCCTTCTCTCTTTCCTCGTAATCTACCTATCCTCCCACCCTTACCATCTTCTCCATTCATATCCACAGGGTTGAAGAGGAGTGCTGAATATTTAGTTTGTACAGAGCTCTGGCTCACGGTGCGGTGGGAGTGGTAAATGGTGGTCAGGAAATTGTCATAATACAGGATTCAGGCCTGGAGCCATTGAGATAGTTTGGAGCATTCAAGGTCTGCAAGGTTGGCCCTCTGAGGACGCACGGAATACCTGACACCTGGTTCAGGACTGTCTGGGGATCCTTAGAGCCTTTCCCAGCCAAGATGTCTGTGCGTGGTGCCACTTTGCATTTAGAAAGTGAGCTGTGTGTAGACCAAGAATGGAAGAGAGCTTTCAGGTTTCCCTCTTGAGGGCACCTCACTAATCTCGCTGACAGATCAATGCTCCAGCCATCATGCTAGGTGAAAAACAGAAGGATGTTTTTCTAGGTAATTGGAAGTAGCAAGAAGCCTAAGTCATGGCTTGTCTGGAAGAAGAAACAGTGAGAAGCAAAAAGTAGATAAATGCGTAAAAACG